CCACCTCTCTTACAACAGCAAGGGTGACTTTAACAGCCTCTCATGCAGGAAGTAGCCGAAGGGACAGAAGTGAGATACTGAGAAACGATCTCTTGAAAAAGCTTTCCTTCAGATTTCTTGGCCTCCCTCAAAGCCTGTCTGAAGCAGAGGGTCTCCTCTCTCTGACTCAAACCCCAGTTCCCTGGCTTCAGGGACTGCTTGGTCTCTCCCACTCCAGAGAGCCTGGGAGGCAGGCTGTAAACTCCCCTCATCTCCATGAGCAACCCCATCAAGGCCTCCCTCAAAAAATAATATTGCATGCAGGATAATAGCCTGCAAAAGCCACAGCCTCATCTACCCTGAGATCAGAAGAACTGGATGGTGGCCGGCTACCACTACTGACCATTTTGGTTGGGGCCACAATAGATGGACCTGGAGAGAAAGGGAGAAAAATGCAGACTAGAACTCAAATTCTTAAAAAGTCCAGACTTACTAGACCAGTTGAGACTGGAGGACTCCCTAAGATGACCCCTCTGAGATATTCTTTAAATCTTGAAATGAAACTATCCCCTGAGGTCACTTTTTTAGTGAAATAACACATTGGCACACAAAATAAAGGATATTACCTGTGAGTATGGGGCTCCATCTAAATGAAACCAAAAGATCAACAATTACTCTAAAGCAAAGATGAGAAGAAAATGGGGCTGGGAAACTAGACTACTGGGAATGGAACAACAAGAACACAGTGAGAATGTTGGCATATTGTGAAAAATGTGACTAAAGTCACTGAACAACTTGTGTAGAAATTGTCAAACAGGAACCTAATTTACTGTGTAAACTTTCACCTAAAGCACAATAAAATATTGAAAAAAATAATGTTGCATGGTGTGCATTATTATTTTCTTAAAAATATCTACTTTTTCTCTTTTGGAGGCATAGGTTTTTATCCCACTCCCGACACCAAAAAAAAAATCTACTTTTATTGCTATAGTCTAAGTAAAACTGGCACATCAGCTGGCAAATGCCAGTGCATGACAAATTCCAAGGCAGTTGTAATTCCATGCAGCTTACCTCTTCCAAGTTCTTAATATAGGGACATTTTCCCCAGCTTGCCCAGGTGTTCTTCCCTTAACCATTCAAAGTAAGGATTATAGTAACACCCACCTCACTGCATCATTGTGAAGGTTAAATGAATGAATATGTGTAAGGGTCTTAGAACTCATTCCTGGCATTGTTGCTATTACTCCTGTTGGACTGCGGCAGGAAGCATGTGCCTCATGGACAACAACCTCAGCTGCCTGGGTCAGTTTGGTGCAGGCTGTGATGAGCAGGAATGAGCCAGACAAGGAGCTCCTGGTGAGGGAGAGGATGCAACTCTTCCATGGTCTCCGGGACTGTGAGGGCAGGAGGGGCTTTAGAACTCATCTTGTCAGTTGTTTTCCACAAGTGTAAGCTGAAAAAAAAAAAA